GGGATGCTCAGGCCCTCGCTGTGCGACAGGTCCCTGCTGCCTGTCAGCCTCCCAAAGTCTAGGGCAGGAGCCAGCAAACTACAAACTACGGCCCTCTGCTGCTTTTATTTATTTTTAATTTTTATTGATTTTAGAGAGGAAGGGAGAGAGAGAGAGATAGATAGAAACATGGATGATGAGAATCATTGATCTGCTGCCTCCTGCACGCCCCCTACTGGGGATCCAGCCTGCAAACTGGGCATGTGCCCTTGACCGGAATCGGACCTGGGACCTTTTATTTATTTATTTATTTATTTATTTATTTATTAAATGTATTTAATTGATATTTGACAGAGAGGAAGGGAGAGGGATAGAGAGTTTAGAAACATCGATGAGAGAGAAACATCCATCAGCTGCCTCCTGCACACTCCCTACTGGGGATGTGCCCGCAACCAAGGTACATGCCCTTGACCGGAATCGAACCTGGGACCCTTGAGTCCGCAGGCCGACGCTCTATCCACTGAGCCACACCGGCCAGGACATAGTTTTGTTTTGTTTTTATACTTTAAAAATATGCACGTTACTATATAAACTTATAAAAGAGCCAGCCTGCTTGATCTCCCCCGCCTCCCCACCTGTATTGGCACTTAAGGAAGGAACTCATGGGCGTTCGTAAACATTTAAACCCAATGAAGCTATAGACGGAGTCTGTCCAGAAACAGGTACAGATAGATTGACGTTTACTGTCCGTGTCAGGGGATCTGTGCGGTGGCGACCTTGTGTGTCTTGTGGCCGAATTTCCAGTGTCTAGTTCAATGCCTTGGACGCATAGGTGCTCATTAAATGATTGTTGAGCCCTGATCGGTTTGGCTCAGTGGATAGAGCGTCGGCCTGGGGACTGAAGGGTCCCGGGTTCGATTCCAGTCAAGGGCATGTACCTTGGTTGCAGGCACATCCGCAGTGGGGGGTGTGCAGGAGGCAGCTGATCGATGTTTCTCTCTCATTGATGTTTCTGATTCTCTATCCCTCTCCCTTCCTCTCTGCAAAAAAATCAATAAAATATATTAAAAAAACAAAATGATTGTTGAAGAAGGGGCAGGGGTAGGAAAGGAGAGAGGAAGACCACTCTCCTACTCATAGACATCAAGGCTGCTTTCATTTGCTTCCAGTGTGTCTCTATGACCGAGAGGCAGGGTTGTGAGGAACAGTTTCCTATGTATGTTTCTCTTCCAATGACCCATCTATATCTATATCTATATCTATATCTATATCTATATCATCTATATCTCTATATACCAGTGGTTCCCAAATTTATTTGGCCTACCGCCCCCTTTCCAGAAAAAATATTACTCAGCGCCCCTTGGAAATTAATTTTTTTTAAATTTTAATAGCAATTAAACAGAAAGATAAATGTATTAATGTTTCTACCTTTTTCGTAAAATATAGTAAAGAAAGGTGTAAATTAGAAACATTGAAGTTTGAAATTATGAAACTATTTATTGAACTCAGAATAGAAAGGTAATACAAAAAAAGTTAAAACAAATGCACCTGTGGCCATCACCGCCCCCCTGGATCCCTGCAGCGCCCACCAGGGGGCGGTAGCGCCCACTTTGGGAATCACTGCTATATACCTCTCTCTCTCTCTCTCTCTCTCTCATATGCAAATTAGGCCGGGATGCCATAATGGGTCATGACCAGACAGGAGGAGGTTGCGCGCGCAGGGGAGGCCCGGAGCAGAGACGGAGACAGACACAGCGGGGGCTGGGATGGAAGTCAGGTGCGGGTCCCGGTCGCCCATGGCACAGGTCCGGCCGATTCCGCGGGTGCTCCTTGCACGGCGGGAGGCGGGGCACCTCCTCGCCTGATTCCAATCGTGCGCTGGGCCTCTAGTTATTTACATAAATTCTTACAAGGGGAAGGCGGATCAAAACCCTACGCAGATGGTTTTGCCCCTGTATTGGAATGCCCGTTTAGGAAGGCCGTACTGATTGACACTCCCATGGGCTGGTATGAGTACCTGTTTTGCCACATCCTTGCCAACCCTCGGTATCATCCCTGCGTTGGTCCTGCCAATCTGATAGGCGGGAAATATGTTGTTATGATCTTCGCGAGCACTTCCCTGACTCCCAGTAAGGCCGAGCGGCTTCATTACATTTGTTAACTTATTTTTATTTTTTGCAAATTGCCCGTCATATCCTTTGCCTATGCTCCCATCTCCCCGCGGGAGGCAAGCTTTTTTCCTTCTTATTGATTCACAAGAACTCTTTACATATTAAGGATACCAGCTCTTTGTCATTTTGGTGGCTAAGAGGAGCCAGAAGCTGAGAGGGGAAGTCGCTGTGTAAGGTACACATCTCAGAGGTGGATCAGAAATTTGAAACAAGATCTGTCTAGCAGCTCCATGTCTGGGGATCTTTACCACAGCCTCCATGGCACCTTCTCCTTTCCCTGGCTTTGCCCCTCCATGGCCCAGGAGCTCTGAGTTCCCACAATTTTCAGAAAGGGGAGAGGCCTCTCACCACGCTCCAGCCACTCTCACTACATCCTCAACAGCAAACCGATTCTTTGGTTTGTTGTAGAGATTAAATACTTGGCACATACTAGGTACTCAAGAAATAGTATCTGGTGTTATTTTTATTTTATTTATTTAAATTCTATCCAGATTGTATGTTTTTATTGATTTTTAGAAAGAGAGAGGAATGGGATGAGAGAGAGAGAGAAAGAGAGAGAGAGAGAGACAGAGACAGAGAGAGACAGAGACAGAGAGAGACAGAGAGAAGGAGAGAGAGAGAGAAACATCAATGTGACAAAGAAACATAGATTGGTTGTCTCCCATATGTGTCCTGATTGGGAATCAAACCTTTTGGTGCACAGGATGATGCTCCAACTAACTGAGCCACCCAGCCAGGGCAGTATCTGGTATTATTATTATTAATTTAAAAATTTTCTTTTCAGCCAAAACCAGTTTGGCTCAGTGGATAGAGCGTCGGCCTGCGGACCGAGGGGTCCTGGGTTCGATTCCGGTCAAGGGCATGTACCTGGGTTGCGGGCACATCCCCAGTGGGAGGTGTGCAGGAGGCAGCTGATCGATGTTTCTCTCTCAACGATGTTTCTAGCTCTCTATCTCTTTCCCTTCCTCTCTGTAAAAAATCAATAAAATATATTAAAAAAAAATTTTCTTTTCAGCCACATGTCTTGCCAGCTGCCTCCTCCTTCGAGCCAACCTCCTATAATCTGAAATATCTGGGACTCCCCAAGCAAGTTGCTATTCCACCTCTCTACTTGGTCCATTTGAAGAACTCCTACTCATACTGCAAAACCCTATTCAGGCTCCCCTTTCTCTGGGAAGTCTTCCCTCACTCCTAGACTGAATTATACAGAGCCTGGACCCAGGGCTGTGGTGTGCCCTTTGAGCTTTCCAATGTACTCCAGAAATAAGGCACACCTCTTAAAAAAAATTGTTAGCTCTAAACTATAAAAGCTGCAGAACCAAAGTGAACACATTTCATTCCCTGTCTAGAAAACAAAACATTACGTCAACTGTCAGCTTTATTGTCGAAGCCAATATTCAAAAAACTCCTGGGACAGTTGGAAACAATTTATCAGTGAATCATTTCTCACTTCAAAGCATTCTCAAGTATGTCTGTGGATGGCTGACAAGCCCGATCCCATCGTAAATTAAACCAAGTACTTGTTGCCAAATAATTCCCAAAAACACAATTATATAAAAATCTCTAGGGGGTTGTTTTTCTTTTTAGCCAGCTTTATCGCAGTGTAATTTGCATGCAATGGCAGTCACTATTTTTAAGCGAACGCGGAGACTTGTCAAATGTACGTAGTTAGGCGTAGAACCATCAGTAGGAGGAAGATAGAGACTATCTCCAAAACCCACCAAAAATTCCTTTCCAGTCATCACTGCCCCACACCCTCTGCCCCAGCCACTGGTCTCCATTCTTTCACCATAGTGTTGTCTTTCCTGGAATGTCATGTAACCGGAATCATACAGCACCAGTCAGTCCTTAGGGTCTGCCTCCAGGGTCCCTCAGATCCATGAGTCAAAACACCCAGCCTCCTCCCTCAGACCCAGGAGCCCAGACCCCAAGCCTCCTCCTCCCTCAGACCCAGGAGTCCAGGCCCCCAGCCCCTCCTCCCTCAGACCCAGGAGCCCAGACCCCAAGCCTCCTCCTCCCTCAGACCCAGGAGCCCAGGCCCCCAGCCCCTCCTCCCTCAGACCCAGGGGTCCAGGCCCCCAGCTCCTCCTCCCTCAGACCCAGGAGCCCAGACCCCCAGCCTCCTCCCTCAGACCCAGGAGTCCAGGCCCCAGCCCCTCCTCCCTCAGACCCAGGAGTTTGGAAATCAGAGGCTAGTATGCTGGTCCTGGTTTCTGAGCATCGGAATCCTAAAATTCAGCCATAGCGTCTGTGAGTAAGGTCTGAATACATTTTTATTTATATTTAAATTTATTTTTAATTAATTAATTAATTTTTTAAAAATATATTTTTATTGATTTCAGAGAGGAAGAGATAGAAACATCAATGATAAGAGAGAATCACTGATTGGCTGCCTCCTGCACGCCCCCCACTGGGGATTGAGGCCGCAACCTGGGCATGTGCCCTTAACTGGAATCGAACCCGGGACCCTTCAGTCCGCAGGCAGACGCTCTACCCACTGAGCCACACCAGCTAGGGCTGAACACACTTTCGAGGAGGCAACAGGCTGCTATGTTTGAAAGACGCCCCGAGGAACGGTCCTGAGGCGGCAGCTGCGGGGTTGGAGTCCTGGTTTCCCCCCAGAACCGAGCTGCTCTTTGCAGCAGAACGAGTGTGACGTCCTCCCAACACCGCGCAGGCCCCGCCCCTCCAGCCTCGCCCGCAGCCCAGGCCACGCCCACAGCACAGGAAACTACAATTCCCAGCAGTCGTAGCGCTCGCGGCCCACCCCATAGGCCCCGCCCTGGAAGCCCCGCCCCTGGCCGACCACGCCACGCCCCCTTCCGGAAGTCCCCGGTTCCAGCCCTGCCGCCTGCCCTTCCCCACGTGGATCCCGGGTCGCGCGCTCCTGGGAGCGATCCGGCGGCGGATCCGCGGGCGTCCCCGCGCGGCGCCCCGCGCCAGCCCGGCATGAACCGCTACCTGGTGCCGGTGTCCATGCTGGGCACGGCGGTGGGCGGCGCCGTGCTGCTCCGGTGAGTGCGTGCGGCTCCGGCTGCAGTCCAGGGAGGGGAGGCCGGGCGGACTCCTGGCCCCGCAGACACCCCACCTGCAGCGCCCCCGGAGGACGTGGGGGGACGCACCGGAGCCCTGAGATGGCAGGTCACCGCCAAGGTCACCCAGAGGAAGGGGCGGGTCCGGGCCCTGGTAAACATTGTGGTCTAGTTGCTTCCGGGTTTTTAACGGGTGAATCCATTCATTCATTCATTCATTCATTCATTCATTCAGCAGGTATGTATCCGGCAATCCCGCCCGTATGTCACCGGCTGGGCCGAGGTGCAAGGAAAAATGTGTGTCCCCTAAACTCTCTAATCCAGCGGTTCTCAACCTGTGGGTCGCGATCCCTTTGGCGGTCGAAACGACCCTTTCACAGGGGTCGCCTAAGACCATCCTGCATGTCAGATATTTACATGACGATTCATCACAGTAGCAACATGACAGTGATGAAGTAGCAACGAAAATAATTTTATGGTTGGGTCACAACATGAGGAACTGTATTTAAAGGCCCAGAAGGTTGTGAACCCCTGCGTTTAATCCGAAATGAGGGGAACAGAGAGGATTGTGCAACTCGACACCCGAAAAGCTCGTTTTGCATGGGATAAGTATGCATGTAGCTCCTTAAAATATAAAACAAACCCATTGGTTATGCTCATATGCATGCATACAAGTCCTTTGGTTGCTCTCTAAACCCCCCCCCCCCCCCCGCCATTTGTCTCTGAATCTATTCTTTTAAAAAATATATATATATATTTTTAAATATATTTTATGATTTCAGAGAGGAAGGGAGAGGGGAAAGAGAGATAGAAACATCAATGATGAGAGAGAATCATTGATTGGCTGCCTCCTGCACGTCTGACCAAGCCCGAAACCCAGGCATGTGCTCTTGACCAGAATCAAACCCGGGACCCTTCAGTCTGCAGGCCCATGCTCTATCCACTGAGCCACACCAGCTAGGGCCATTTGCCTGGTTTTAACCACTTGTTACAGTGGCCATAGGAAACGAATACAGCGGGTCTTTATACAATAACGACGTTTCCCTGGCCGGGTAGCTCCGTTGGCTAGAGCCTCCTCCCAATACATCCAGGTTCCGGGTTCGATCCCCTTTTAGGACACATACAAGGAGCGAACAATGATGCATACGTAAGCGGAACAGGAACTCATCACCTGTAACCTGGCAACGTGGAGCCAGGCAGTGTCCTTCCCTCTTTCTGTTGGGGGGGAACACAAGCTCCGAGGGGTCCCTTGCTTGAGACCCAAGCGGTCGGGGTCACCGGTGGGGAGTGATCAGGCAGGTGGAACTGAGGGGGCTCTTTCTTGCCTCCAGGGACTATGTCGCGGGCGGGGCCTGTCCCAGCAAGGCCACCCTTCAGGGCAAGACTGTCATCGTGACGGGCGCCAACACGGGCATCGGGAGGGAGACCGCCTTGGAGCTGGCCAGGAGAGGTGAGTCCCCCCTGGCAGGGCATGGGGGGCTGGGGGGCTGGGGGACAAGGGAAGGGACTAAGAAGCACAAATTGGTGGTCACGGGATGGTCCCGGGGATGTAACGTACAGCACAGGACATGCAGTCAATCGGATCTATATACTAGAGGGCCGGTGCATGATATTCGTGCACGGGCGGGGGTGTGGGGGTCTCCTCAGCCCAGCCTGCGCCTCTCGCAATCCGGTATCCCTCGGGGGATGTCCGATGGCTGGTTTAGGCCCAATCCCACTGGCAGTCAGACATCCCTCTGACAATCCGGGACTGCTGGCTCCTAACCGCTCACCTGTCTGCCTGCCTGATGGCCCCTAACCACTCACCTGCCTGCCTGATCACCCCTAACCACTCACCTGCCTGCCTGATGTCCCTAACCACTCACCTGCCTGCCTGATGCCCCTAACTGCTCACCTGCCTGCCTGATGCCCCTAACTGCTCGCCTGCCTGCCTGATCACCCCTAACCACTTGCCTGCCTGATGCCCCTAACCACTTGCCTGCCTGCCTGATGGCCCCTAACCACTCTGCCTGCCTGCCTGATGCCCCTAACTGCTCGCCTGCCTGCCTGATCGCCCCTAACTACTCTGCCTGCCTGCCTGATGGCCCCTAACCTCCTCTGTCTCAGCCCTTGCTGCCGTGGCTTCATCCAGAAGGACACCCGGAATGATGTCCAGAAGGTCATTCGGCTGTCTGATCTAATTAGCATATTACGCTTTCATTATTATAGATATTTTAATATAATATTTTTATTGATTTCAGAGAGGAAGGGAGAGGGAGAGAGAGATAGAAACGTCACTGATGAGAAAGAATCATGGATCGGCTGCCTCCTGCATGCCCCACACTGGGGATCGAGCCCGCAACCCGGGCATGTGCCCTTGACTGGGAATCAAACTGTGACCTCCTGGTTCCTAGGTCGACGCTCAAGGCACTGAGCCATGCTGGCCGGGCCCTTCTCTGGGTTTTGCTGAATGGTGGATTTTTAGTCTGTGCAACCATCACCACTCCCAATGAGAACACTTTCAACACCCCCAAATGAAACGTCGCTTTCCTTGGCCCCCCCTCCATTCCCCACCCCTCCCTGGGAGACACGAATCTCTCTTCCATGGATTTACCTGTTCTGGACATTTCCTAGAAGTGGAGTCATTCACTACGTGCCTTTGGCTGTGTGGCTTTTCACTCAGCATCATGTTCTGTGTTCGGGTCAGGGCCTCCTTCCTTTTTCATGGCTGAGTAGTACTCCACAGCGCGGGCAGACCGTGTTTTGTTCATGCATTCCTTTGGGCTATTGTGAATGGTGCTGCTATGAGCGCGTGTGTCCACATTTTGGTGCAGGCGTGTGTTTTCATTTGTGTTGGGTATACACATACAGGGGTGGGTTTTTTTTTTTAATTATTTTTTTCCATCTCGGGCTTCCAGGAGGCAACATCATCCTGGCCTGTCGCGACATGGAGAAGTGCGAGGCGGCGGCTAAGGCCATTCGTGGGGAGACCCTGAACCACCGCGTCAACGCCCGGCACCTGGACTTGGCCTCGCTGAAGTCCGTCCGAGAGTTTGCAAAGAAGATCATTGAAGGTAGGCGGGAGGGCGCTGGCCACGGGGGCGAGACCTCGGGTGGCCAGGCTCTGAGGACCCAGGAATTAAACCAGGCCTGGACCTTAAGCTCACAAAGCCAGTAATCTCTACTGTCTGGCCCTGGTCCCTTTAAAAAAATATATATATATATATAAATAAATATATTTTATTGATTTCAGAGAGGAAGGGAGAAGGAGAGAGAGATAGAAGAAACATCAAGGATGAGAGGGAATTATGGATCGGCTGCCTCCTACACGCCCCTACTGGGGATCGAGCCCGCAACCCGGGGCATGTGCTCTTGATCAGAATCGAACCCGGGACCTTTCAGTCTGCAGGCAGATGCTATAGCCACTGAGCCAAACCGGCCAGAGTCTGGTCCTTTTTATTTTTTATTTTTTAAAATATATTTTATTGATTTTTTACAGAGAGGAAGGGAGAGAGATAGAGAGTTAGAAACATTGATGAGAGAGAAACATCGATCAGCCGCTTCCTGCACACCCCTCACTGGGGATGTGCCCGCAACCAAGGCACATGCCCTTGACCGGAATCGAACCTGGGACCCTTCAGTCCGCAGGCCGATGCTCTATCCACTGCGCCAAACTGGTTAGGGTGGGCATGATCCTTTTTAAAAAATATATTTCTATCGATTTCAGGGAGGAAGGGAGAGGGAGCGAGAGATAGAAACATCAGTGATGAGAGGGAATCATGGATCGGCTGCCTCCTGCACGCCCCACACTGGGGATCAACCCTGAAACCTGGGCCTGTGCCCTTGACTGGAATTGAACCGTGACCTCCTGGTTCATAGGTCGACGCTCAACCACTGAGCCACACCAGCCAGACTGGATTTTTTTTTTTTGCAAATCCAAGGATCAGGCTCGAGCTTTCTGCCCTCGTCACATTGATTGCTGACTCACTCATTTTGCTTCCCACCTGGTGTTCTCTGAACCGTTCGTGCACTAATTTTTTTGAACAAGAATAAGGTTGACGGTATTCAATGTTCAGAAAGTACAAAAGGGGAGGCAGTCAGATGTCTCCCTGCCAGGCCCGCCCCTCGCTCCCAGCCCCGCCTTCCTCACGTGTGTTCCGTGCTCACGTGTCCGTCTGCGTCTGCAGAGAGTTCATGCATCTACCAAACAGGAAGGTGTATCACCGCCTTTTAGTACAAATTGGAGCCTGTCCTATGCCCGGTGGTGCCCCAGCGTTTCCCTCCCCGGCTCTCTCAGCTTCCTCATTCTTGTGGCTACATGGCATTTCTTCGTTCTTTTCTCGTGGCTACATTGTCTCTCTTTATGGATTTTCTTGTGGCTACATTGTTTCCCTTTATGCTTCTCTTGTGGCTACATTGTATCTCTTTATTCTTTTTTCTTGTGGCTATATTGTATCTCTCTCTTTTTTTAAATGAATATATGTATTTATAAAATAAATGTATTTATAAATATTTTTTTTATATATATGTATTTTTATTGACTTCAGAGAGGAAGGGAGAGGGAGAGAGAGATAGAAACATCCATGATGAGAGAGAATCATGGATCGGCTGCCTCCTGCACGCCCCCTACTGGGGATCAAGCCCACAACTCAGGCATGTGCCCTTGACTGGAATCGAACCCGGGACCCTTCAGTCCGCAGGCCGACACTCTATCCACTGAGCCAAACCAGTTAGGGCTACATTGTATCTCTTTATGCCTTCCTTTTTAAAAAAAAATATATTTTATTGATTTTTTACAGAGAGGAAGGGAGAGGGATAGAGAGTTTGAGAGAGAAACATCGATCAGCTGCGTCCTGCACACTCCCCACTGGGGATGTGCCCGCAACCAAGGCACATGCCCTTGACTGGATTTGAACCCGGGACCCTTGAGTCTGCAGGCTGATGCTCTATCCACTGATCCAAACCGGTTAGGGCTCTTTATGCCTTTCTTGTGGCTACATTTTATCTCTTCATGTGTTTTCTTGTGGCTTCATTGTCTCTCTTTATTCCTTTATTGTGGCTACATGGTATTTCTTCATTCTTTTCTTGTGGCTACATGGCATCACTTTATTCCTTTCTTGTGGCTACTAGTACATGGTATTGTGTTCCCTCCTGTGGTCTGATGGGTTGGCCGTTTGGCTGCCAGCCTTCCTGCGGCTGCTGTGAACATCCGACCTCGTGTCCGTGTCATTTGTCACGTGGGTGGCGGTGTCTGCACATCTCGGAGGCAGCCTCTTCCTCTCCACCAGCTGTGTGTGAAACGACAGCAGGGGAGCTAGCCCGGAGACAGAGGAGCAGGGGCTGAGAAGAGGTGAACAAATAAACATGGATGGACTGTTTTCTCTGAAGCAAAGAAATACATGCTCCTTATGGAAAAATCGATAAAATCCGGAATAGTGAAGGAGAATGAAACACCTTTGATTCCACACCCACCTCAAGGGACTCACTGTTGACTTTTTTCCTGCTGCATGGTGAAGTTTCATTGTGAAAACTTCGCTACTTTTCTTTCTTTTAAATGCTAGAGGCCTGGTGCACGAATTCGTGCACCAGTGGGGTCCCTTGGCCTGGTCTGCAAGATCGGGCTGAAAGCAGCTCTCTGACATCCCTGAGGGGACCTGGATTGCAAGAGGGCACAGGCCAGGCCGAGGGACGCCACCGGTGCACGATCGGGTCTAGGGAGGGATGCAGGAGGTTGGCCAGCCGGGGAGGGACTGCGGGAGGGCTCCAGGGTGGTCTGGCCCATCTTGCTCAGTCCCTGTTGGCTGAACCCCATCAGCAAGCTAACCTACCAGTTGGAACATCTGCTCCCTGGTGGTCAGTGCACATCATAGCAATTGGTCGACTGTCTGCCCCCTGGTGGTCAATGCACGTCATAGCTACTGGTTGACCGGTCAACTGTCTGCCCCCTGGTGGTCAGAGCACATCATAGCGAGCAGTTGAGCAGACTTAGCATATCATTAGCATATTACGCTTTGATTGGTTGAGTGGCTGACCAGTTGACCGGACACTTAGCACATTAGGCTTTTATTATATAGGATTTTTACTGATTTCTAGGGTGAGGGGGAGGGAGAGGAAGAGAGAAAGAGAAACACCCATCAGCTGCCTCCTGCATGCTCCCTGCCGGAAATTGAGCCCCAAATCCAGGCACCTGCCCTGACTGGGAATTGAACTTGTGACCTTGTGGCACACAGGACCTGTTGGTAAATGGGGCGACACCCAACTGACTGAGTCACACCAGCCAGGGCCAGACTTGCCTTCTTGTGAGGACGCCAGTCATGTTGGATGAGTTGGAGGATGACCCTGTGACCTCATCTTTACTCGGTTGCTTCCGCAAAGACTCCGTTCCCACAGGAAGGTCACACGCCCAGGTTTCAGGTGGTCGTGAATGTCGGGGGACACTGTGCGTGCAGCCCAGCACAGACACGGAGCTGACGCGCTGGCCCTGGCCCCTGTCTTCCAGAGGAAGAGAAAGTGCACGTGCTGATCAACAACGCGGCCGTGATGCGCTGCCCACACTGGACCACGGAGGACGGCTTCGAGATGCAGCTCGGCGTGAACCACCTGGGTGAGGCCGTGCTGTGCACGCCTGGGACGTGAGCCTGGTGGGTCAGGCACGGGCTCTGGGAGGGGGTGTCCACTTTCTTTTTTTAAAAAAATATATTTTTATTGATTTCAGAGAAGGAGGGGAGGAAGGGAGAGAGAGAGAGAAACATCAATGATGAGAGAGAATCATTGATTGGCTGCCTCCTGCACGCCCCCACTGGGGATTGAGCCCACAACCTGGGCATGTGCCCTTGACTGGAATCGAACCCGGGACCCTTCAGTCCGCAGGCCGACGCTCTATCCACTGAGCCACACCAGCTAGGGCAGGGGGTGTCCACTTTCCACGTCGGCCAGGTGGCCACTCCTGGGGTCACTCTGCAGACCAGGGAGTTGCCGATGCCTCACTGCGTGCTCGTAAAGTCTTTGGGACCCACCATCAGTCTCTCCACCTTTTATCCCTTTGTCCGCCTTCAGTCTCAGTCTGTCCATCAGTCACTCCGTCAGTCTTTCCGTTGTCACCCTGCATGTACCTGGGGTTCTGTTAGGAAGGGCCAGGGGGCATCGGGACATATTAGATCAGGGCCCACCCTAATGACGTTACTTTAACTTAATTATCTCTGCAAAGAGCCCGTCTCCAAATAGGGTCACATTCTGTGGTTCTGGAGGGTAGGACTTCAACATATTTCTTTGGGGGCGGGGGAGTAGGGAGACAACAAACTCAACCCTTAACACACACACACACACACACACACACACACACACACTCATTTGCACCCTATTGGCTGGGACTCAGTCACATGACCAATCTAGTTGCAAAGGAGCCTGGGAAATGTAGTCTTTCACTGGCCCGTCTTGGGCCCAGCCAAAAGTTCCATTACTGAAGAAGAAATGGAGGAAAAATTTTGGGAGGCAGAAGGCAGTCTCCTCCCCAGCTGACCTCAGAGGGCTGGACATTTGGGGCTGGATAGGTCCTTGTTGCGGGGACTTTGCTGTGCATTGTGGGATGTGGAGCAGCATTCCTGGCCTCCACCCACTAGATGGCAGTAGTGTCCTTACTCTCCACAGTTGGGACAAACAAAATCGTCTCCAGATGTTGCCAAATGTCCCCTGGGGGCCATGCTGCTTCTGGTTGGGAACCGCTCGCTATTGGGAGGGTGAGATAAGGTATGTGCCCAGCCCACTCCTAGGCACGTGGTCAGACTTTAAGGACAGTTTTCTCTTTTTGTCGTCGTTCATCCAGGTCACTTTCTCCTGACGAACTTACTGCTGGACAAGCTGAAGGCCTCGGCCCCTTCGCGGATCATCAACCTCTCGTCCTTGGCCCACGTGGCTGGGCACATAGACTTTGAGGACCTGAACTGGGAGAAGAGGACGTATAACACCAAGGCGGCCTACTGCCAGAGTAAGCTGGCCATCGTCCTCTTCACCAGGGAGCTGAGCCGGAGGCTGCAAGGTGCGCGTGGGTGACCTGCCTCTTCCTGTAGCTCTGAGCCTGGAGCGGTCCTGCTGTGACCTGGGGCTGATGGGAGGTCAAGCAGGGGCTCTAGGACACAGGAGGCAAATGCATGGCACACATGACCAGGCTCCCCCCCTGGTGCCTGAAGCAGACATCACTAATCAATCACACACCACCAGGCTCCCCCCCTGGTGCCTGAAGCAGACATCACTAATCAATCACACACCACCAGGCTCCCCCCTGGTGCCTGAAGCAGACATCACTAATCAATCACACACCACCAGGCTCCCCCCTGGTGCCTGAAGCAGACATCACTAATCAATCACACACCACCAGGCTCCCCCCTGGTGCCTGAAGCAGACATCACTAATCAATCACACACCACCAGGCTTCCCCCCTGGTGCCTGAAGCAGACATCACTAATCAATCACACACCACCAGGCTCCTCTCCAGTGCCTGAAGCAGACATCACTAATCAATCACACACCACCAGGCTCCTCTCCAGTGCCTGAAGCAGACATCACTAATCAATCACACACCACCAGGCTCCTCTCCAGTGCCTGAAGCAGACATCACTAATCAATCACACACCACCAGGCTCCTCTCCAGTGCCTGAAGCAGACATCACTAATCAATCACACACCACCAGGCTCCCCCCCTGGTGCCTGAAGCAGACATCACTAATCAATTACACACCACCAGGCTCCTCTCCAGTGCCTGAAGCAGACATCACTAATCAATCTCACACCACCAGGCTCCCCCCTGGTAACTGAAGCAGACATCACTAATCAATCACACCCCACCAGGCTCCCCCCTGGTAACTGAAGCAGACATCACTAATCAATCACACCACCAGGCTCCCTACCAGTATCTAAAGCAGACATCACTAATCAATCTCACACCACCAGGCTCCCCCCTGGTAACTGAAGCAGACATCACTAATCAATCTCACACCACCAGGCTCCCCCCTGGTAACTGAAGCAGACATCACTAATCAATCACACCCCACCAGGCTCCATCCTGGTGCCTGAAGCAGACATCACTAATCAATCACACACCACCAGGCTCCCCCCTGGTGCCTGAAGCAGACATCACTAATCAATCACACCCCACCAGGCTCCCTCCTGGTGCCTGAAGCAGACATCACTAATCAATCACACACCACCAGGCTCCCCCCTGGTGCCTGAAGCAGACATCACTAATCAATCACACCCCACCAGGCTCCCTCCTGGTGCCTGAAGCAGACATCACTAATCAATCACACCCCACCAGGCTCCCTCCTGGTGCCTGAAGCAGACATCACTAATCAATCACACCCCACCAGGCTCCCCCCTGGTGCCTGAAGCAGACATCACTAATCAATCACACACCACCAGGCTCCCCCCTGGTGCCTGAAGCAGACATCACTAATCAATCACACACCACCAGGCTCCCTCCTGGTGCCTGAAGCAGACATCACTAATCAATCACACACCACCAGGCTCCCCCCTGGTAACTGAAGCAGACATCACTAATCAATCACACCCCACCAGGCTCCCCTCCAGTGCCTGAAGCAGACATCACTAATCAATCACACCCCACCAGGCTCCCCCCATGGTGCCTGAAGCAGACATCACTAATCAATCACACCTTCTTCCCTGGTCATCCAGGACTGGCCTCTAAGCCTCTGGTGCTCCAGGCCAGTGGACATTTGGCAATAATTGGATACTTTTGGCTGTCACTTCAGGGGTGGGTGTTGCTCCTCGCATCTAGTGGACAGAAGCCGGGGACACCTCCAGGGCACGGGTTAAAGAATGACTGGACCTCAGCGTCCGTAGTGCGGGCGTTGCAAAGCCCGCCCTCTGCCCTTGCTTCTCATAGAGCCGCGTGGGGCAGCCGTGTCCGCTCACCTGGGAGCCTGTCGGACCCCCCCTGACCCACTGCTTCAGGCCTCTGGGGGTGGGGCCAGCGGTCTGGGTTTCCCGAGGCTCCATGTGGTTTTGACACACTTGGGTGGAGAGGCCGTGCTCTGGGCAGCCAGGTGATGGAGCCGCCTCGCACGATGCAACGGCCTGGTGGGGAGGTTTCAGAGCAACAAGGGGATGCGGGTTCAAGGGCAGGAAACGGGGGGCGCCCTGGAGCTCAGGGTGGACAGCGTCAGGCTTCCTGGTAAGGAGTGAATCTGACATCCGTCTGTCCACTCCCTCCCCCGCCCCATCCTTCCCTTCTCTCCCCAGGCACAGGCGTGACGGTGAACGCGCTGCACCCCGGCGTGGCCCGGACAGAGCTGGGCAGGCACACGGGCATGCACAGCTCGGCCTTCTCCAGCTTCACGCTCGGTAAGCCCCCTCCTGGCCTGGGGACCCCTCGCTGAACCCCTGCCCTCCCAGCCTGGGGCCCAGGAACCTCCTGCAGGGCATTAAGACCAATGGGACATCTATAGGTATTTAGAAAGATTTATTAGGAGAAAGTGGCTCAGAAGTCCCACGATCAAAAGATTTAGAAGAATTAAAAAGGACATGAAGGAAGAGGAAAGATTATTGCCAAATGAAATAAAGAATTTTTGATGCTGAAAAAAAAAAAAAAAAAAAGGAAGTCCCACGATCCGCCCTCAGCCCGCCCTCGGCCCGCCCTTCGGCCCGGAAAAGCCGAGGGTGTAGTTGCAGAGTCCGCAGCCAGGCCCGCCCAGGGTCTGACGGGAGATGGAGATGACGTCCCCAGCTCCAAGCAGAAGATCGAATTCTCCCTTCCTCACCTTTTTCTTTTTCTTTTTTAAAAAAATATTATATTTGGTTGATTTCAGAGAGGGAGGGGAGGAGGGAGAGAAAGAGAAACATCAATGATGAGAGAGAATCATTGATCGGCTGCCTCCTGCATGTCCCCCAGTGGCGCTCGAGCCCGCAACCCAGGCATGTGCCCTTGATTGGAATCGAACCTGGGACCCTTTGGTCTGCAGGCCGATGCTCTATCCACTGAGCCACACCGGCCAGGGCAGAACAAGTCACTTTTCTGTGTGGAGCCTCAGAATAGCCCCAGGAAACAGGCCAGGGCCCATCTGACTGATGAGAAAGCCACGTCTCAGAGGGGGAGGAGCCTGTGGAGCCAACTCCTCGTCCGCTAACTTGCTGTGCCACCCAGGGGAGCGGCTGCACCTCTCTGAGCCTCAGCGCCCTCCTGCAGAGGGAGGGCTTGCGTCGGCGTCCCTGGGAGGAGGCCTCCCGTAACCGGGCCAGCACAGCGCCTGGCCCAGATTGAAGGGGAACAGTTAGAACTTGACAACTAGCATTTATAACCCTGAAAAACACGGAGTGGGTGCTACCAGGTGGCACGGATCTTAAGCTGGAGACAGTCAATAATAAAAGTTATTTAGCCCTGGCCAGTTTAGCTCAGTCGATAGAGCATCGGACTGCAGACCAAAGGGTCCGGGTTCGATTCCAGTCAAGGGCACATACCTCGGTGGCAGGCACCTCCTGGGCCCAGGCCCTGGTTGGGGCTCATGCAGGAGGCAACCAATGGATGTGTTCCTCTCACATCGATGTTTCTCTCTGTCTTTCCCTCTCTCTTCCACTCTCCCTAAAAATCAATGGAAAAATATCCTCAGGTGAGGATTAACAACAACAAAAAAGTGATTATAAAGCAGGATGGGGTATGGTGGGGACTCGGGGCTGATGGAAAGGAGGGAGAGCCTCCATTTGCCCGAGGAAAGCCAGGAGGGCTTCCTGGGGGAGGCAGCTTCTGGAGGGAGGTGCTAGGGAAGGGGATTCCTGTTGGCGGGAACCGCAGGAGCAAAAGCCCGGAGGGACTCCCGGCCAACGTCCGGCCTCCCTGGGCCCTGAGTCTTGGGGTGGAGCAGGGCCTTTTGCATTCTTTCTCCTCTCTGAATGCCTGTGGACTAAACGCTCTGTGGGCTGGTTGCAGGGCCCATCTTCTGGCTGCTGGTCAAGAGCCCCCAGCTGGCGGCCCAGACCAGCACCTACCTGGCCGTGTCCGAGGAACTGGAGGGCGTTTCGGGGAAGTACTTCGATGGACTCAGAGAGAAGGCCCCGGCCCCCGAGGCTGAGGATGACGAGGTGGCCCGGCGGCTCTGGGCTGAAAGCGCCCGTCTGGTGGGCCTGAAGGGGTCCTAGGGGGTCCCCTGCGTGGGGCCAGCCCTTCCCCCAAAGCACCTGGGAGCAGGTGTGAAAACCATCATCAGGATGGAGCCGCAAGAAGACCAAGGCTGGCTGCCATGCCCACGCCACCCTCTAGGTGGCAGCATCGGCCAAGCCTTCAAAGGAAGGACCCTGCCTGCCTGCCACGCCCGCAGCCGCCGCTAGATGGCAGCATTGACCAAGGAATGCTGGCTGCCATGCTCACACCGCCCTCTAGGTGGCAGCATCGGCCTTTCCACGCTCCCTCTCTCTCCTGGCGGCGGGGGACTGGGCTGCAGGTGCGCACCTGAGCCAGGTGCTGCCGCAGGTGAGCCAGGCCATCAGCTGCTTCCCCTGGGAACTGCTGGGGAAGGAGCCAGCGCCCTCCCACGTGGGCCACGGTGCGGGGCAAGGTGTCTGCTAGACACGATCGAGTTCATGGCTCACCCATGGTTCTCCTCTCTGAGCCTCAGTTTCCCCAACTGGAAAGTGTGCAGAATCCCAGGACTACCTCCCAGGATGGCCTGCTGAGCTTTTCTTGCCAGGGAGAGGTTCCTGAGGGTCTTTGTGTGCCAGAGCCTGGCCGGGTGTGGGGGAAAGAGGGGTAGTAGTGTATGTGTGGGGGGGCTGTACCCCGAGACCAGGCCGACACACACCTGGCCCATTATCCCCGAGTGACGCCCCCGCGGACAGGTGAGCAACGCACCAGCTGCTGCTGCTCAGGGCCCAGGACGCCCGGGGTCACGACCTTCCCTTGCCCTGTGGACTCACAGACTTGCTCTTTAATAAATAATGATAAGAATCTAGCTGAGTCATAGCTTTCACTGCTTCCTCTGGGCATGTGGGGGAAGTCCCATGGGCTCATGTATTTCTTCCTGTTTTTTTTTGTTTTTTTTTTTTAGATCTTGCCATTCACATTCTAGGCTTCTTTTTATTTTTTTAACCCTTGGTAAAAATTTATCCAAGGAACAGGATACACGTACATTTTAAAACACGAACCATTAGAGTCCGGCCGGCGTGGCTCAGTGGTTGAGCATCGACCCAGGAGCCAGGAGGTCACCCGGTTCGATTCCCGGTCAGGCCACATGCCCGGGTTGCAGGCTCCATGCCCAGCGTGGGGCGTGCAGGAGGCAGCCGATGGATGATTGTCATCATTGATGTTTCTATTTCTCTCTCCCTCTCCCTTCCTCTCTGAAATCAATAAAAGGAAAGGCTCCTGCCCTGGCTGGTTTGGCTCAGTGGACAGAGCGTCGGCCTGTGGACTGAAGGGTCCCGGGTTTGATTGCAGTCAAGGGCTTGTGCCCAGGTTGCAGGCTCGATCCCCAGTGGGGGCTGTGGAGGAGGCAGCTGATCAATGATTCTCTCTCATCATTGATGTTTCTCTCTCTCCCTTCTCTGAAATCAATACAAATATATATTTAAAAAAAGGCTCTTAAGAATGAGTTACAGACAACAGGGGGGTGAGGGCATGAGTGGGGGGGCAAGGGGGGGTAATGTAGGGATAAGGACACATGTAATAATAAAGTAATTTAAAAAAAGAATGAGTTACTAATTAAAAAAAAATTAAAGTCCCTTAATCAACAATTTTAATCCCCCTCATCCCAGGTGCCTCCTCCGCCCCCTTTGCCACGGGAAGGGGTGGTTTTGGGGGAGCAGGATGTGGATGCCTTTGGGGGGCGCCCCCGTCCTGTCTTCCACTCTCCCTTTCACACCCCTGCTTTCTTAGCCTTTCTCATGGCCATGGGCTCCCCTCACGAGGTCCCCACCGATTCTGCTTAAAGGAGGAGAATTACCGGCAGAATTACGGTCCCTGTGTTAGGAGCAAATCAGCTGAAATGAGATGTTATCACCAACTCCCCAGATAGGGCAGCCAGTCTGGCCTCAGCCACGTGCAGGCGGCTGGCGGCTGGCGGTTTCGAGCCACAAACCCCTCAGACCGACATCCGCTTCCTTTTCGGAACCGAGAAACCTCAGACCACAGACACTGTCTCACACACACGCTGAGGTCACCCTTCTCGGGGCCCCGGAGGCCCTGGGCGGCTCCCAAGCCCAGCGCTAACCTTCGGAGATGAAAGGTGATGAAACCCCCATCTGAAACCATCTCAAAACCACAGCCGCCCAGACCGGAGACTGTGGCAGAGCAACCAGCAGCCGGAGGAAGTGGAGGAGAAAGGGCTGTGGGTTAGCGGGGGGCGGGGTGCACGTTCACAGAAAGGCACCCAAGTCGGGGTGAAGCTTTCGTAGGCCCTTTGGGGCCTGGGGCCTGTGCCAGGAGGCCCGGCTGCTGGCGACAGGCGCTGGCCAGGTGCCGGCTGGGCTGGTGTTCGCCCGGCTGGGCGCTGTGGCCCAGGAGACACCCGGCTCTCCTTGAGGGACGTGGGAACCATCCCACCTGCCTGACTGGTGACCAGGGGCCACTTCACCCCGAGGCTGGGCGTCTGTGGCGGGTTGATGGTGGCCCCTCAAGTTATGTCCATCCCTGGCCGGTGTGGTTCAGTGGATAGAGTGTCGGCCTGCGGACGGAAGGGTTCGATTCCGGTCAAGGGCACATGCCCAAGTTGCAGGCTCGATCCCCAGTAGGGGGCGTGCAGGAGGCAGCCGATCAATGATTCTCTCTCATCTCATTGATGTTTCTCTCTCCCTCTCCTGCTCTGAAATCAATTAAATAAATAAATATATATATATAAATAAAAATATGTGGCCCATCCACACAAGGACATATTGTCCTGGGAGGGAAACGTCGCGTTCAGTGTAGAAACACTGAGATAGACGGGCCGGGGTCCCTGAATGACGCTGTCAGCTTCAGGAGCTGGGAGCGGGCGGCGGGGAGATGGACCTACTACTCGCGGGCGGCGCACAGTGGGACCACAAATCGCGTCTGCACCTGTGGCTCACAGGGATGGGGCCGGTGGGCTCCATGCCGAGTCAGTGGCTGTAGGGTTTGACATCGTCATGGAAACAGAGCGAATGGTGAAAGGCTGTGGCAACCGAGCGACAGTGAGCGAGAAGGCGCGTGTGAAATCGGGGTTTCCGGAGGGCTTGTCACAGCGGCGGAGCTTCGCGGGGAGGGAAACGCGCAGCCTCGGACCTGCTGGACCTGGGAATCTGGAGGCCCCCTGCCCCCCAACTCCCCTTGATGGGAGGTCCCGGTCCCTCCTCAGGCAGGTGTCTCCCCCAAGTGGTTGATTGGCATCAAGCCCCGCCCCGCCTGGCTCACCTGGGTGGGGATGGGGGGTCCGCTAACGCTCTGTGATTGGCTGAGTCCGGGGCTCACCTGGGGGCGGCTCTGGGGCGTTAGGCTGGGGGTGGGAGGGGGTCCGGCTGGGGGGATCCATGGACGGGGAATTTCTTCACTATTTTGGGCTTTTCGGGGACCCGGGGCTGAGGCGGCTGCGCAGGTAGGTGTCTCCCGCACAACGTGTAAGAGCCGGGCAGCCCTGGCCCGCGTGGCTCAGCCGGGTGAGCATCGCCCTGGGCACCCCAAGGTCTCGGGTTCGATTCCAGGTTGGGGCACGTGCTCGGGTGGCGGGTTTGACCCCTGTCAGGGCGCCTGTGGGAGGCAACCAATCTCTCTCTCTCTCTCTCTCTCTCTCTCTCTCTCTCTCTCTCTCTCAAATAAATAAAGACATATCCTCAGACAAAGGCAAAAAGAATGCCCAAACTTACACGTAATTTAAAAGTACATTGAAAAGGGAAACCTTCAGTGTTTAAGGCAGTGGTTCTCAACCTTCCTAATGCCGCGACCCTTCAATACAGTTCCTCATGTTGTGGGGACCCCCAAACATAAAATTATTTTCGTTGCTACTTCATCACTGTCATGTTGCTACTGTTATGAATCGTCATGTAAATATCTGATATGCAGGATGTATTTTCATTGTTACACATTGAACATAATGAAAGCATAGTGATTCATCACAAAAACAATATGGAATTATATACGTGTTTTCCGATGGTCTTAGGCGACTCCGGTGAAAGGGTCGTTCGACCTCCAAAGGGGTCGCGAACCGCAGGTTGAGAACCGCTGGTTTCAGGAGCCTCGCTCCCAACTCTCTTTCCATATTTCTAACTCATTTGAACCCTGTGAATGGATGACTGGGATAAAGTTAATTTAAGTTCAATAAGTCAAAGCGAAGGCTTGCACACACACGGTGGCATGCCGAGATATATTCTGCACCTTACTGTTTCCCGGGCAGCCATCCATATGAAAGAAAAACCGTGCGATGCACGTGCTGCTGGCGGGCCCGGGGTTCTGTGGAAACCACCATCAGACAGAGAGACCACATGTGCAAACAGTAAAAAAACCCAAACATTCTGACCGATCAGGCACCGACCGTGTCTTAGAAAGGCGACTCTTCAGCGAGAAGAAACTAGAGGAGGGTCACACTTTGGACTCTGCAGGGTTAAGGGAAAAAGGAGAAAAAAGGGGAAATTAGGGTTTTGCAAGGAGGGGGGGAGGGAAGGACAGAAACCTCTTCCCCTAATAAGAACCTGTACTTCCCCTCACCGACAGTAGAGGGCGCGCTTGTCTGAAAAAATCGTCACAATCCTAACCAGGAGCCTTAAATACTTAGGAGCACCTGTTCTCTCTCCCAGGGATGTTTCTCTCTCTCTGTCTCTCCCCCTCCCTTCACTCTCTCTAAAAATCAATGGAGCCCTGAACGGTGTGGCTCAGTGGATAGAGCGTCGGCCTGCGGACTGAAGGGTCCCCGGTTCGATTCCGGTCAAGGGCATGTACCTGTGTTGCAGGCACATCCCCAGTAGGGGGTGTGCAGGAGGCAGCTGATCGATGTTTCTCTCTCATTGATGTTTCTAACTATCTCTCTCCCTTCCTCTCTGTAAAAAATCAATAAAATATATTTTAAAAAAATCAATAAAAACAATAAAAATATATTTTAAAAAATAAAAATCAATGGAAAAGTAGCCTCAGGTGGCCACGATGAACAGCAGCAGAGGAAGACACTGAAGGGAAAACTGTAGGAACCGCCCCAGGCCAGCAGCCTGTGTAGACACACACGGGCCCAGCATAGGGACCAGACACTGTCACCAAGTGGTCAGGTTGGACTTGGGTCTGCGGCTCCGTCCACAGCGGTTCCGCTGGGTTCTGCGGGTGAGACCTGGCCGTCCTGACGTCACTCCGCCTCGCTGGGGGAACCCTCTCCCTGTCCTGTGGCCACACACAGGCCCTGTGGGAGCGCCCCGGTGGCCCACGTGTCTGTGGCTGGCAGGCAGGCCGCAGGCGGAAACCGCAGGGGGATGTGGTTTGCGGTGCAGCCTTGTCTTGCACAGGGGACGTCCCCTTCCTGTAGAGCAGGGCTGAGGTCGCCCTGGGTGAAGGGGTTAGAGCCCCAGGCTGCCCCGTCTGGGCGTGTCCCCCTGTGGCCATCGGCCGTCCAGCGCGAGCTGTGGGCTCATGTCCTCGGGGTCCCTTTTCTGCTTGGACCTGGTGAAGGCCGCCCGGGAGGTGACGGGAGGCTGTGGAGGGAGGAGAGTGTAGATGCTGAGGTTCTTTACCCGGTGACCCTCTGCGAGGTCCTGGGGCTGGTGAGGGATCGAGAGACCACCCACCGTATGGTCATTTTTCTTTAGTTTTTAAAAAAATATATTTTATTGATTTTTTACAGAGAGGAAGGGAGAGGGATAGAGAGTTAGAAACATCGATGAGAGAGAAACATCGATCAGCTGCCTCCTGCACACCCCCACTGAGGATGTGCCTACAACCCAGGTACATGCCCTTGACCGGAATTGAACCCAGGACCCTTCAGTCTCCATACCGACGCTCTATCCACTGAGCCAAACTAGCTAGGGCTCTTTAGTTTTTAAAAACATATTTTTATTGATTTCAGAGAGGAAGGGAGAGAGCGAGAGAGCGAGAGAGAGAGAGAGAGAGAGACATCAACGATGAGAGAGAATCATGGATAGGCTGCCTCCTGCACGGCCCCCACTAGGGATCGAACCCGCAACCCGGGCACATGCCCTTGACTGGAATCGAACCCGGGACCCTTCAGTCCGCAGGCTGATGCTCTATCCACTGAGCCAACCTGCTAGGGCCCCACCAGTGTTTAAGGAGCCTCGCTCCCACTCTCTTTCCATATTTTTAACACATTTGAACCCTGTGAGTGGATGACAGGGATAAAGTTAATTTAAGTTCAATGAATCAAAGCGAAGGCTTGCACACACGGTGGCATGCCGAGATATATTCTGCACCTTCCTATTTCCCACGCAGCCATCGATATGAAAGATAAACCGTACGATGCACGGGCTGCTGGCGGGCCCGGGGTTCTGTGAAAACCACCATCAGACAGAGAGACAGGTGTGCAAACAGTAAAAAAACCCAAACATCCTGACCGATCAGGCACCGACCGTGCCTTAGAAAGGCGACTCTCCAGCGAGAAGAAACTAGAGGAAGGGCACACTTTGGACTCTGCAGGGTTAAGGGAAAAAGGGGAAAAAAGGGGAAATTAGGGTTTTGCAAGAAATGGGGGGAGGGAAGGACAGAAACCTCTTCCCCTATCTAATAAGAACCTGTACTTCCCCACACCGACAGTAGAGGGCGCGCTTGTCTGAAAAAATCCTCATAATACTAACCAGAAGCCTTAAATATTTAGGAGCACCTGTTCTCTCTCCCAGGGATGTTTCTCTCTCTCTGTCTCTCCCCCTCCCTTCACTCTCTCTAAAAATCAATGGAGCCCTGACCGGTGTGGTTCAGTGGGTAGAGCGTCGGCCTGTGGACTGAAGGGTCCCGGGTTCGATTCCTGTCAAGGGCATGTACCTTGGTTGCAGGCACATCCCCAGGAGGGGGTGTGCAGGAGGCAGCTGATCGATGTTTCTCTCTCATCGATGTTTCTAACTCTCTATCCCTCTCCCTTCCTCTGTAAAAAATCAATAAAAACAATAGAAATATATTTAAAAAATAAAAATCAGTGGAAAAGTAGCCTCAGGTGACCACGATGAACAGCAGCAGAGGAAGACACTGAAGGGAAAACTGTACGAACCGCCCATGCCAGCAGCCTGTGTAGACACACACGGGCCCAGCATAGGGACCAGACACTGTCACCAAGTGCTCAGGTTGGACGTGGGGCTGCGGCTCCGTCCACGGCGGTTCCGCTGGGTTCTGCAGGTGAGACCCGGCCGTCCTGCCGTTACTCCGCCTCGCTGGGGGAACCCTCTCCCTGTCCTGCGGCCACACACAGGCCCTGTGGGAGCGCCCCGGTGGCCCACGTGTCTGTGGCTGGCAGGCCGGCCGCAGGCGGAAACCGCAGGGGGATGTGGGTTGCGGTGCAGCCTTGTCTTGCACAGGGGACGTCCCCTTCCTGTAGAGCAGGGCTGAGGTCGCCCTGGGTGAAGGGCTCAGAGCCCCAGGCTGCCCCGTCTGGCGTGTCCCCCTGTGGCCATCGGGCGTCCAGCGCGAGGTGTGGGCTCATGTCCTCGGGGTCCCTTTTCTGCTTGGACCTGGTGAAGGCCGCCCGGGAGGTGACGGGAGGCTGTGGAGGGAGGAGAGTGTAGATGCTGAGGTTCTTTACCCGGCGACCCTCTGCGAGGTCCTGGGGCTGGTGAGGGATCGAGAGACCACCCACCCTATGGTCATTTTTCTTTAGTTTTTTAAAAAATATATTTTATTGATTTTTTACAGAGAGGAAGGGAGAGGGATAGAGAGCCAGAAACATCGATGAGAGAGAAACATCGATCAGCTGCCTCCTGCACACCCCCACTGAGGATGTGCCTACAACCCAGGTACATGCCCTTGACCGGAATTGAACCCAGGACCCTTCAGTCTCCATACCGATGCTCTATCCACTGAGCCAAACTAGCTAGGGCTCTTTAGTTTTTAAAAACATATTTTTATTGATTTCAGAGAGGAAGGGAGAGAGCGAGAGAGAGAGAGAGAGAGAGAGAGACATCAACGATGAGAGAGAATCATGGATCAGCTGCCTCCTGCACGGCCCCCACTAGGGATCGAGCCCGCAACCTGGGCATGTGCCCTTGACTAGAATCGAACCCGGGATCCTTCAGTCTGCAGGCTGACGCTCTATCCACTGAGCCAACCGGCTAGGGCCCCACCAGTGTTTAAGGAGCCTCGCTCCCACTCTCTTTCCATATTTTTAACACATTTGAACCCTGTGAGTGGACGACTGGGATAAAGTTAATTTAAGTTCAATAGGTCAAAGCCAAGGCTTGTTCACACGGTGGCATGCCGAGATATATTCTGCACCTTCCTGTTTCCCCCACGCAGCCATCCATATGCAAGAAAAACCGTGCGATGCACGTGCAGCTGCTGGGCCTGGGGCTCTGTGAAAACCCCCATCAGACCGAGAGACCACATGTGCAAACAGTGGAAAAACCCGAACATTCTGACCGATCAGACACCGACCGAGTCTTTGAGAGGCGACTCCTCAGCGAGAAGACACTTGAGGAGGTGAACACTTTGGACTCTGCAGGCTAAGGGCACAATCTGGAAACAGGGCAGAGTTGGGATTTTCCGAGAAGCGGGGGGGAGGGA